TTTATCGTTTACTCATTTATTGTCTATTTATTTATTTGGCCATGCAACATGCAGGACCTTAGGTCCCCAATGAGGGATCGAACCCGAGCTCCCCTGCAATGGAAGCATAGAGTCCTAACCACTGGACCACCAGGGAAGTCCCTCTTCTCCTCTTCTTATAAGGTCACCAGTTCTCTTGGATTAGGACCCCACCCCTAAGACCTCATGTAACATTAGTGACCTCCCTGCAGTCCCCGTCTCCAAATACAGTCACATTAGGGCTTCAGCCTATGGATTGGGGGGCAGGGGTGGAGGAAAAAGAAGTTGACACAGTTCCGCCCATGACACAGCTCCTGTGTGTGACAGTGTGGAGCAGCATGACGGGGACCAGGCATGACTGGTTGTGTTATTTCATATTTTCTGGACGTAGAACCTCTGAGTAGCAAATTCAGCTAGAGAATGAACCACGAAAAATCTGACATTTTGTTTCCTTCATCTTGTCTTTTTTCTTGTGTTGATGATGAGTTTAACATACAGTTTGGGTGTTTGTAGATCCTCATTGGACAATGTATATGGAAGGACTTCTTACTCAGTAATTGTGTAACGGGCATGAGCGGGTGTTGTCCATAGGAGGAATAAACCTGTGGGAAAATATTCCTTGTTATTGTTGTTCAGTCGCTAAGTTGCGTGACTCTCTGTGAGCTCGTGGACTGTATCACACCAGGCTCCTCTGTCCTCCACTATCTCCTGGAGTTTGCTCAGATTCATGTCCACTGAGTCACTGATGCTATCTAACCACCTCATCGTTTGCTTCCTCCTTCTCCTTTGCCTTCAGTCTTCAATATTCCTTATATTTGTAGTAAAATAGAAACAAAGTTGAAGACTTGAGTTTTTCTGTATGTGGGTGAAAGTGGCTGAAAGCAGGAGACGGTAGTAAAGGTCAGTTTTGTCATCCTTGTGGGTAGGGGACATGCTCGTGACATTGCTGAGGGGCAGAGATGTTGGACCAGCCTGGCAGCAGGAGAGCTTGTTGTTGGTTCTCAAAATACCTGCAGATTCTTCATTCCATCAAATAGTACTTACAGGAATTTATCTGGTGAAAATGTGAGAAATGTAAAGGTGGGATAAGATGACAAATAAAAGATGGGCGAATCATGATGCATATAGCTATTGAGTGCTAAGTATTTATTTATTACATCATTAAAACGTAGAATAATTTTTGTTGACATGATATGTTGCTGAGCAAAAATTTTTTTAAAAAACTTAAAACTTTAATGGTTTTATTATGCAAAATAAGTCAAATCAGAAAAAAATATATTAGAAAAACCTATGTCAAAATGCCAAAGTAAATATATTCATCTGGGATGGTAGGATTACTAATGGTTGCTTTTCCTTTGTTTTTTTTTGTTTGTTTGTTTTTGTCTCTCTACATTTTCTAGATTTCCTGGAGTTAGCGCAGATTAGCTACTAATTTTAATGGATTATTTAAGACTAAAGGACTTAACCATAGACTAACAGTTGGAAGGCGTAAGGCTTTTTCTACTTACCAGTCAGCAATCCAGGGCTTGGTTCTGGCAGTATTTATGGAGCCCTCTCTCTTTTCTGTAAGTGAAAGTGTTAGTTGCTCAGTCAGGTCTGACTCTTTGCCACCGTATGAATAGTAGCCCACCAGGTTCCTCTGTTCATGGGATTTTCCCAGCAAGAATATTGGAGTTGCCATTCCCTTCTCCAAGGAGTCTTACCAACCCAGGGATAAAACCCAGATCTCTTGCATTGCAGGCAGATTACTTACTGTGTGAACCATCAAGAAACTCTTTCCTGTAAGCTCTTAGCTAAGGTTGGGAGTGAAAGCTGACAGTCTTTATGGCCTATATATAGTAATGACTAATGGTTAAATTAAATCTAGATTTTAAAACTTACAATGATAGAAATTATTCCAAGTCATTTTCACTAGGTATGTAGAGGATGTCTTGTGTAGCAGTGGCTTTGTATGGTGGAAAAAGCCTTGAAGATTTCACTTCTCTCTCTCTACTGCCATATTGGGAAAGGGGCTAGATAGATAACAGACAGAATCGTTCCCTATACTCTATGGGTCAAAGTTATTGAGTGCCTAAGGGTATACTTTGATTCTTTGCCTATTAAATCCCATATTTTATGATGACAGGTGACTGTCATACTTTTAAAAGTTACATTTTATAAAAATTGGTGTGTAGATGGCATTTAGAAGTCAGTACCAGTTATAAGAAACAGGCTGACACATCAAAACACACTAAAATAGCAGGGGGGAGGGAGGACAAAGGGAGAAAACTGAAGTTCTAGGACCTCTTATGTTACTTAATAACTTTGGAACCTCAGACAATTTCTTTGTCAGAAAATTGCACTTATGATGATATGGGCCCAGAGCTTGAATTTGAATAGGCCCCCCAAAATTTGGGCTTCCCTGGTGGCTCAGACGGTAAAGCATCTGCCTGCAATGCAGGAGACCCGGGTTCAATCCCTGGGTCGGGAAGATCCCCTGGAAAAGGAAATGGCAACCCACTCCAGTACTCTTGCCTGGAAAATTCCATGGACTGAGGAGCCTGGTAGGCTGCAGTCCACGGGGTTTCAGAGTCGAACATGACTAAGCGATTTCACTTTCTTTCTTTCACAAAATTTAGAAAACACAGAAGTTAAAATAATCATTTGAGATATATAAGAATCCTTCTTCCTCAGCATAAGGCTGTTCTTATACGAAGTCCCCTTTGGAAGCCCCTGACATGGATACAGGTGGAGACACAAGGTCAAGGGGGCGCCCCCACTGGCCAGAGGTGGCTTTTCACCCAAGACCTGCCATTTTCCTTTCTTCTTTCTCTCTGCCCCTGCTGTCTTCTCTTACCTCCCAAACTTCCTCTAAGGGGAAGGACGTGACTTTCAGGCTATTTTACCTGGCAAGACATGTGTTGATCTGTTTATCTGTATCCTTGTTATTGTAAGGCTTGATGAAATAAGAAAACCACATATGAAAGTAAATTGAATACCCAAAAGCACTTTAAAAAAATCTATTTATTTATTTGGCCACACCAAATCTTAGTTGTGTTCAGCTTCCATCCCTCTGACCAGTCCCCAAAGTACTTTATTTTTAACTTCTCACCCCCTGGCACAATTACCTAAACCTCTTTCTTTCCCCATTTTTGGTATCCATCTAACATGAGATGTATCCATCACCTACTATACTTTCAACTTGTTTGCCATGGTTGCCTTTTGCCAAACTATATTTCCTTTGATGCATATTCTTTGCTCACATTCTGGTTGTTAATGTCATTTACCAAACCCTCCCATATATTCTATGTTTGTGATATTTATTTTTCCAATGATATCCTAATCCCTATTTGTAATATATTGAACTTGGTAGTTCAGTCACTCAGTCACATCCAGCTCTTTGCAACCTCATGGAATGCACCATATCAGGCTTCCTTGTCTATCACCAACTCCTGGAGCTTGTTCAAACTCGTGTCCATCGAGTCAGTGATATGGAACTTACTTCAAAATAGAAAAATGATTCAAAAATAAGTTGGAATGTCCAATGAGAGCATTAGATAACCACTTTTTTATTGTCATATATTTTCAGGAAAATTCTATACTGGTGCCCTTCAGGATTTGTGTATCCCTAAATTATTAACTAAATGGGGCTTCCCAGGTGGCACTAGTGGTAAAGAACCTGCCTACCTATGTGGGAGACAAAAGAGATGAGGGTTCAATCCCTGGGTTGGGAAGATCCCCTGGAGGAGAGCATGGCAACCCGCTCCACTATTCTGGCCTAGAGAATCCCATGAACAGAGGAGCTTGGCAGGCTACAATCCATAGGGTCACAAACAATTGAACTGAATTGAAGTGACTTAGCACACACACATACAGCTAATATATATGGTACAAGCCCTGCTAAGAAAATTATGTTGCTTATTTTGAAGCCCATGATGCTCAGATACAGTATATTTGAAAATTCCTTTTAATATTCACACGGCACTGATTCCTAGAAGGACTTCTGATGTAAAGGCTTAAAGCAAGAAAATAACCTTGATTTACTCCCCACCTCTTATTTAAACAGATTCTTGTTGTGCCTTTATAAAAATTACCCTCGGTTAATTATTACTTCCTCTACTGATGACCATTGCTAAGTAATACATGTCACAAATACTTCAGTCTTATTTCTTTGTGTGGGAAAGATAAGTACAATGAAGCCCAGTAACTTCTGCGCATCTTGTCTTTAGCCTGTGCATGTGCGTCCCTGAATGAAATGGGCTGTTATCTGAGCCTCTCCTTTTTTTCATCCGTGAACTCAGACAGAGTAAATGGTGACAAACAAGTGTCGCCAGCTTTGAAACATTTGTCTGCTGCCAGTATCTGAGTTAGAGCTCAGCAAATATTTGTGGAGTAGACTAGCTATTTACTTTGTTTGACAATACCAACCAAACTTCTTAGGTCAGTTGTGGTGTTTCTTAATTACTTATAAGTTACTGATCACTTATTGTGTGTGATTTCCATAAAGGAGAATATATTTAGTTTTTTGGGGGGTTGAAAGTATGTGGGTGTACAAGTAATAAATATATGTAGATATACATATAAATATATGTAAATAGAAAATGGTAGCTTGGCTAGCTTCTTTTGTAGACTTAATGCTTATTTATCTCTTTACTCTTTCTCATCATCTTACTTGCCTTCTCTGGCTCGTCGTTACTTTCTCTGTTTACCTCAAAGACGACACACAAAGTTGAGAGTGTATTTTGGAATTTTTGTCGCGGTGGACATAGGAGAAAGTGTCTATTTTCTTGTTTCCCTTTCTGCAGTTATGTCCCGTGCTTTCTCTGTGGTTCATGCATCTCATCTTGCCAAAGTGTGCCTCTTAGAGCTGTCTGCTTTTGTTGTTCAGTCACTAAGTTGTCTCCGACTCTTTGCCACCCCTATGGACGGCAGCACGCCAGCTAGTTAGGTGTGTTTACAGGGACAACATCCAGTCCCATTAAGTGTGTTGTCTTGCATTGCAGGAGCTATGCCTGTCCCAGACCAGCCTTCGTCAGCCTCGGAGAAGACCAGCTCCTTGAGCCCTGGCCTCACCACCTCCAATGGGGATGGCTCAGAAACAGAAACCACCTCTGCCATCCTTGCCTCGGTTAAAGAACAGGTAGAAACTTTCCACTTTTCTGACATACATATTGGGACATTTTTGAAATTGTTCTTTCTGGATGAAAGCTGGTAATTTAGTTACGTTGGGGAGAAAATCATGATTTTCTAGCAGGATATTGGTGTTCATTATACCATTGTTATTAAAATGTGATTATAGCAGCTTTTGACTCAGTTTTTATTCAAGATGTAGGCAGCTTTCCTTGCAAAAATAGTCTACAGAAAAAGAGAAAAAATTGTAGTCAAATTCTTCCAGGTGAAGTGTTAGCAGATTCATTGATGGATGCGATGTTTAATACCATTAAATGTGTGAAGCCAAATAATTGGTCTGTGGGAAACCTAAAGTCTAGTAAAATTTCAAAGTATATCCATGATGCTAAAAAATTGATAAGGGTGAGAACATATGACTGTCATGGTGGGCTAAGCAAATTCATTTTCTGCGTGTTTCTGAGAAGGCTTTGGGAGAATACATTTCAGAGCTTTTCCTGAAAAACTAAAGTTTAAATGATTCTTCTTTCACCATTTCTTCACCATAAAAATGGATAAGCAAATAAAATCTGAAGTCTCATATTTAAAAGTAATTGTTTCATAAAATTCATGTTTCTTCTATATAAAAGGTGGTAATTAACGAAAGCTGGAAAATCAAGTTTTTTATATTTGCTTCTTTTCCTTACCATGGACTGGAATGTAAATCAGTGTCTTGTTTTGTCTTGTTTTAAGTGCAAAAGCATCCTGTCTTTGAACTGTATTATTCAAGGATGCTGAATTAGCAACAGCAGTGGGAGAAAAGTGACAGTTTTCTGAGCCCAAGAACATCTTAATAGAGCGATAGACTAAATGGGGCAATTTCTGACTCAACTAGGAGAAGGCCTTTGGTTTCCCTAGAGAACACTGATTTTGTTTAATAAATGGGAACTGATTTAAGTAAAGGTTGATGATCAAGCTATCAAGGAGTAGCTAAGGAAGTATCCATTGAAGGAATCAATGATGCTATTAGTTAAAATTGTGTCACCAGGTCAGAAAGTGTGACGCAAAAGTAGGAGAGATGAATGAATGGGTTGGATAATCTAGTTTGTATAAATGGTGAGTAATCAGGAAATTGGGTTGAGGCACCGACATTCTTCTAAAACCTTACCCACAGCGTTTTCTGGCTATTTTTCATGAGTAATGGAAACAGAGAGGGAAAGCCCATGCTACTTCTCATACTCCAGATTCTGTTTTGTTCTATCCCTGGGTTATGTCGTGGATTTGTATTCTGGCATAGACTAGACATCTTGCTAGGCCACTAGCTTTAGAGTAGTGACAAAGCATAAGGCATGAGAAATAAATTTAATAAGACAACCAGACCTGTCTGACGAAAAGATCCCACTCGCCTTGTGGCATGGCTTAAATGATTCTTCTTTCACCATTTCTTCACCATAAAAATGGATAAGCAAATAAAATCTGAAGTCTCATATTTAAAAGTAATTGTTTCATAAAATTCATGTTTCTTCTATATAAAAGGTGGTAATTAACGAAAGCTGGAAAATCAAGTTTTTTATATTTGCTTCTTTTCCTTACCATGGACTGGAATGTAAATCAGTGTCTTGTTTTGTCTTGTTTTAAGTGCAAAAGCATCCTGTCTTTGAACTGTATTATTCAAGGATGCTGAATTAGCAACAGCAGTGGGAGAAAAGTGACAGTTTTCTGAGCCCAAGAACATCTTAATAGAGCGATAGACTAAATGGGGCAATTTCAGACTCAACTAGAAGGCCTTTGGTTTTCCTAGAGAACACTGATTTTGTTTAATAAATGGGAACTGATTTAAGTAAAGGTTGATGATCAAGCTATCAAGGAGTAGCTAAGGAAGTATCCATTGAAGGAATCAATGATGCTATTAGTTAAAATTGTGTCACCAGGTCAGAAAGTGTGAAGCAAAAGTAGGAGAGATGAATGGATGGGTTGGATAATCTAGTTTGTATAAATGGTAAGTAATCAGGAAATTGGGTTGAGGCACCGACATTCTTCTAAAACCTTACCCACGGCGTTTTCTGGCTATTTTTCATGAGTAATGGAAACAGAGAGGGAAAGCCCATGCTGCTTCTCATACTCCAGATTCTGTTTTGTTCTATCCCTGGGTTATGTCGTGGATTTTTATTCTGGCATAGACTAGACATCTTGCTAGGCCACTAGCTTTAGAGTAGTGACAAAGCATAAGGCATGAGAAATAAATTTAATAAGACAACCAGACCTGTCTGACGAAAAGATCCCACTTGCCTTGTGGCATGGCCTAAAAATAAAAATATATAAATAAAGAAAATAGATAAGCAACAAGCACTAAAATTTTTAAAAAACTTACTGTGAAGAGTTTATTTTCTAATTATTAAAGTCGTTTCATTGCTTATAGATAAGGTGAGATTCTTTGTGACAAATAAGTAATATGAGGAGGAGTGAAAATCTGTCTTGGGAAGCTGAGACAGAGCAGGTGGTAACACCCAACTCAGAGCCATGGGCGTCAGCTTCCATGCGTGGTGTCTGCCAGTTTGAAGCAGAGCCCATGGACTTCCTTGGGGTGGCCTCATGGAAACAACCAATCTCTTCCTTCACTGGGGGATTTTTGTCCTAAATTATTCTTCAGACGTCCTTCCTCTCTTTTTCTCAGGGATAGACCATTTTTTTATGGAGTTAAAACTAAGTTAAATATATTTTTAAAGAGCTTTAGCTGAAATTAAGGAAAATAACTTTAAAAATTAATACCTTCTATGATTCTTAATAATTATATGCATAATCTATTTATAAATCTTTTCACTTAAGGGATATTTGCCTGGCCCTCTTTAGGTGCTAATAAGAAATAACTTTCTTGAGCAAAAATACTATTTCTTCATTTAGAGAATTTCAAGTAAAAATTTGATGGCACTATACTTATTACCACTCTAGTTCTGACTCCTTGGGAGTCGTTTCTATGGTAGGGAAGTGATTTTTTATTTTTAATCACAGCAGGCATATATTCTGAGTTGACTGGGTATAATAGACTACATGATTTAATTACTCATTCATTAAATATACTGAGTATGTTATATCGGTAAATTACAGTAAAGAGTAATAATGGAAATGAATATGTAAAGAAAGCTCAGTCTAGTAAGAGTTCATTGGAATACGTTGTTAATGAGACTAAGAAGACAGGCTCTTAGGCCAGTAGTTGATATTGCATGGAAATAAATTCTAGTCTATAACCATTGAATAGAACTTACATCACGCCAAACCCTCAACCATGGAATGTGTCCCGTGTGGCATGTATGACTAAGGCATTTGTAAGCTGAGTCCTAAAATGTTTGAGCACTCATCAGTCATGGACTGTTCAGTGAAAAGGTGTTCCTTGATCTTTCTTCTCTGTTCTGATTTCCATCTCGATTGCTTTTTAACTGGTGAATTTTGTACTTTTGTATTAACATAAACAGACCGACCGTTTATGCTCTACTCCGTGTATAGTTTTCTGAGTTCCAGAGACATCGGTCTCATTTCCAACATTCACCAAGTCTCTCGTCCTGTGGGGCTCTAAGTGGGGAGACACTCAGTCCTACTCCTTCTCCTGTGTGTGTGTCCTTGACCAGAAGAGGAAGAGAGGACAGAGTTTGGGTGATGATTCTTGTCATGTCATCTGAACAAATAGCTGAGAGGATACTGACAACCATTCATCACAATGAGGAGCCAAAGTGATATGATGGCTAAAAGGGTGAGAAGGGTCAAGGGATTTGAAGATAGGAGATGATTGCTATGATGGTGGCAGTGACCCGTAAGAAGAGAAGAAATTAGTGATGCTTGACAGAGGGGGTGTGATTTCAGGGGGAAGGTTACTGGGTAGGTGAGAGTGAAGGGGACCCAGTGCACCAGTGGAGGGAACAAAGTTCATCTGTGAGAACAGGAGAATGACAAAGTACACGGTTGCAGGTGGGCTGGTGGCTTGGCACTGGAAATGTGTGTATTTCTATTCTGCTGTGATCAGGTAGACATGGTCAGCGCATTCTGAGTTGGAGCCTATTTGAAGTCTGAAAAACTGGAGGTGGAGAGGGAAAGGCATTGGATATGATGGATGTAAGAAAATGACTATAATGATGGATATTGGAATTGATGCTGAGTGACAAGGGGTGAAAGACAGGAAAATTGATAGGAACAAAGGATTCACAGAGTGAATAGCTACAGATGCTGATAGCATGAGAACCAGGTGCTTAAATCAGGAATTTGAAAGCAATTATTGTTAATGTCGAGGCCTAGGTTATGACTCTGGGAAGTAAGATCAAATCAAGAAAAGAGAGAGAAAGATTGTTATTGACTGTGAAAGCTACTATAAGAATGATGGCAGGGCAGTGGCTCAAATCCCCATCACTGGAGAGGAGAGACCCAAGGCTTCCCCATGACTGCAAGAAATACAAACATGTTTGCTTCCAGTTTGCCTGACAGTAGTCATCTGATCTTCATTTTCTTGTTTTCATTTTTTTAAAAAAATTGTTCCAATGCTGGTCTGTAGTATTTGACAAGATTTTACATTTACTTGCTCTATGTAATGTTGATCTGTATATTTTATCTTAAATCAATATGTGTACTACTTTGCTCTTAAGAAAACCATGAATTTCCTAAAACTGCACCTGTTTTGAAATATATTTTTTTCTTTCCCTTCAGTTGATCAGTGTTTAATTTGATCATCATATGCTTTCAGAGCTGGTGTCTAAAGCGTCTTCTTATACAAACTAGAAAAATCATGGGAGTTTTTGTTAACTATTTTCTTTTTTTGAAGTATAGTTAATTTACAATGTTGTATTACTTTCAGGTATAGAGCAAAGTGACTCAGATAAATATACATAAATATACACACACACACACACACACACACACACACACACATATTCGACATATCCTTTTTCAGATCCTCTTCCATGGGCTGCTTCTTAAAAACCTTTAGATTTTTGAAAAACCTTTAGAGCTAATATAGTTTATTGATCTTTGTAAATTATTATGGTACAGATA